GGAATGACCACTGGTCTGGGTCTGGGTTCCTCCTTTTCACCTGATGGCTGACTGGAGTCCTGTTTGGGTTTCTTCTCTGCTTTCAGGAAGGCCCAGTTAGGATATCCACATTGCTAACCCGAGACTGTCTTGTGTGGGATTTCTCCTTCTGCCTGGCTCCTGAGCTAGTGGGGGCGGTGATTAAGTGGCACTTTCCTAGAGTTTTGTTAACGTGGTTGTGTTTAATTTAAATCAAAAGTAGCGCTGCTTTCATAGTAAAAACTACCAAAAAGTACCGTACTTACCAGACTATAAGCCGCTACCTTTTTCACAGGCTTTGAACCCATTGTACAATGCTGCGGTTAATTTATGGTTTTTTTTCACGGGCTAACGAGCTTCATGCCACCAAAACATTTAGCTTTGTCACATGGGAGCTCACATAGCTGCCCAATACACGTCTCTGTTTTTTTTTTTTTTTGGGGGGGGGGGGTCCTCGTGACTTGTTGAGACTACCTGTATAAATAAAGGTTTAAAAAAATTTGACCAATGAAATTACCGAACAGGTCACAGTGGACCAATGAAACTTCGAATTACCGTAAATTAACACACTCATACTAAATTCTTCAGATCAGTTATTTTGCACTTCACGCACAGACCCTCAACATGGAAGACATAAATAAATACATATGATGCAGCTTTCAAGTTAAAGGCGATCGATCTGGCTGTTGAAAAAGGAAATAGAACTCCTGTACGTAGGCTTGGCGTTTCCTGATAGGCTACTGTTTTTATTTATCTATTTTTAACCAGCTGTGTTACAGGCGCTGTTCAGAAAAAAACATTTACTGTACATATTTGTGTATGTTACCGGTACGTATTTAATTAAAAGTTTTTAAAATAATTTCTGTGTAACATCTTTCTGTGTAAATATCTCATGTTACGTGGACACCCGCAGCTTATATATACAGTAAGTGTGTCCTATAAATGTTCACTTTTTAAAAAATGTATTTATTTAGTGGGCGCAGCTTATATCTGCATGCGCTCAATAGTCTGGAAATTACAGTACTGTTGAGGTATGGGCTTAAGCAATAGTTTATTTCTAAATATTATTTTTTAAATTAAAGTGTAAGAACCAAATTGAAAAACAGAATAAAAAGAAATAAAATGTACCCCAACAATAAAAACATTTTTCTCTTATATCTCTACTTGTAACTTCTCTTTCATTGGCCTTTCTGTTTTCTAGAGAACTGTGAATGCAAAATTTCTGTTACTTTTAACAGCATTTCCAGACAAATATCAAAATCCACCACTGCCTGCTTATTAGCTATGTGTTGAAAAAAGCACAAAGAAGCTCTGTGTTTACCAAACCAGTGGCCCATTGATGTCGGTGGCTTCTATTGAATATAATAATGAATATTCACTTTTTAAAGGCTTCGTTTTCCAAAATCAGTCGCTTGATTGGGGTTGTTTTTATAAATCCGACTGCTTTTTTTTCCATTTACCAACCCTAACTATGTTTATTGTGTCACACCCTTTCTAGTATGTGGGATTCCTTGCTTGTTCTTTCAAAATGTTTAGTGAAGTCACTAGGCCTGTCACGATAACAAATTTTTCTGGGCGGTTAATTGTCTTGGAAATTATTGTGATAAACGATAACATTGTTTGAAATTTGACAATAATTAGTAATTGTGAAATTTAAGAAGAAATGTTAGTTAATTTTTGTGCGTAGTATCTTTTTTGACCACCGGATGGCAGTATAACACAGTTTGAACCAAAGGATGGATAGTGAGGGAGCGAGCAGCGTGTCTCTAAGAAAATGGGAGGGAGGCCCCTTGACGTGACATGGGCTGTCTCTCGTTTCTGTTTTTCAGTTCTCAAAATGGCAGATGCTCGGTGTAGTTTGAGCTATTTATCATAGCATTTTTCACACAAAGCTTTTAATAAAAAAATCAGTAAACAAGTTTTCAGCTTCTTTTTGCAGAGAAAAACAACTTTTTACACAAAGGCATGGGTTTCACCCGTGAATTTTGGAGCTTCAACAAGACGGAGGTTTTTTTCCCCGAGGTCGGCCTGTTAGCTTACCTCGTAGCTTAGCTTCTCAGCTTAGCTGCTTTTCATGATCCAAAAATGCAATTTTTGACAGTTAAAACAGAGTTTGAAGAGAAAAGCGAAAGGTCAGTGAAGAGCACCGGAGTTGAGCCTTTTGTCATCCAGTGTCTTCAGTAGAAAGAGAGACACGAAGAAATAATAAAGCAGATAAATGAAAATTAGGTCGATAATTTTAATTTACCATGCGATTAATCGATTTATTGTTTATCGCGACAGGCCTAGTAGTCACATTTAAACTACCCAAAACCATACACCATACACTGCCAGTTCAAACACAGCTGAAACAGAACTACTATAGAGTAAACATTTTTGCTTTCTCTTCCCATTATTGAAACAGTGACCATAACTAAAGATGCTTCCACAGTTTTAAAGCAGCAAAAATCCATTTTTATTTATTCTTACCAGCTGAAACACTTGTGTTTTCTCCTTTTGCTCCAGGAAGCAGTTTGGCATGTTTTTTCATTTTATAGGGTCGCTTTGCTGCAGAAAATAAAATTTAAAAAGTTTTTTTAGTCTATTGTGAAACTGAAACTCAGAATTATACAGTGACAGCTGGGGCATTAAATAAATCTTTTGAAAACAGCTTAGAGCCTAAATTAATTGGGCAAACACATGTTTTTTCTAGTTATTTAAAGCAATAAACATATGTTTGGATGTGTACTGACAGTTTGCATATTTTCTTGTCTTACCAGCAACGTGGCTAGAAGTCTTTGAGTTGATTTGTTGTGGCTCAGGTGAGGTGTGAATATTTCTCCTTCTAAGGCTACGTCTTGATGCTTAGAACACAAAAGATTTATTAGAACAGAGAAATCAGAGTAAAACGAATATTTCTGACTCCTAAATTGTCTTTATCTGTAAAACATCAAAGAAACGTTTAATTTACCTCCTCGATCGGCCTCTGAAACGTTACCAGACCACTGTCGAGTTTGAGAGTTTTGTCTTTTGCTTCTTCTCGTTCCTCATGAATGGAGACAAAAAAAATAAAATAATATTACACTGAATATTTGAACAATGGATAGAAAATTTAAATCCAAAAAAATTGTAGTGAACTAAGCCTGAAGGTCAAAACCTTGACCTTAGGCACTATATGGGACAGGAACTGTCATTTCATTGATTTGAATCCAGAAATACAGGTTGACCCATCCTGAGACTTTCTTTCTTGAAAATTCAAGTGAAAGAACACTCTCTTTTTTATTATCATTACTATTTTACAAATGTTGATAATCAAAGTGTTTTAGTTCAAACCATTTTAGATGTTGCAGTGAACTAATCAATTTTTATTAACTGTGAAACAGTATAATGATTTTTAATCCTCATGCAAAGTTAGAATTCATGTTAAGGTCTGTTACAGAGTAATTATGCATTTTCTGATTTTCTGTCTTTGAATGAGCAGTGTAAGTTTGGTCCAAGGTCGGAGTCGAACGCAGACCAGTTGTTGGAACGAGCTGTCATGTTTTTACATCCTCTCAGACGTAAATAGAGAAGCTGGCACCTGTTTTCGCCAACTCATCTAAATATCCCTCTCGTCTGTCTAAAAACATTTTCAATCTGTTCCATAACATTCTTGCTGTTTTTCTGACTTCTAGTGACCTCTTACGTCACAAAACACACCCCTGTCTGGTCGATATTGACCAATCAGAAACTCCCAAATGCACCGGAAATAGAGCTCTTTAAATGTCGGTACTTCCTAGTTCATTCCAGTTCCTGTGGGGTCGAAGTTCCAGTTGGAGTTGAAGTGGAAGTTGTGTCGAGCCGGTCGAGTTCGCTTCAGGCTCCGGCTTCAGTCGTTTGGGAGAACAGAAGTCCAGCATGATCCAGAGCTCTTCAGAGTCTTATGGGATTATAACTTTCTTCCACATCTGGGTGGGACTCTGACGGACTCCACTCATGTGAGTCCACTCGTGAGGTGAACCGTGTCGGACGGAATACCGTCACTACTTCGGACGATTCACAGCCATCCTACGGAGACGCTGGACCGGTAGCGTTAACTGGAACTCCGTATCCGCTGATTCATCTTCAGAGAGGTAACGAGTCGAGTTTACTACCGAGCGTACCGAGGAAAGCTGGGTTCGAATGGAGGGTGTCGTTCTGTTCAACACTTTCCCCTCACACACCATCTCCCTCCCTCTAAACTTCATCTTCCATCTTTAAAATTCTTCTATCAAGTAGAAATCACTCCAGATATTTTAGAAATGTCTGTGTAAAGTTCTCATCCACCGCCGTGTGGATAATCAAAATTGTACAGTTTGCTAAAACTAGCCATGTTGTTATTTTCCATATTTTGCCAATTAATGTAAATGTTTGATGTTAAACTTTGATTCTGTAAATAAATGACCACATTCATTTGATGGGTCAAAGATAATTAACGTCTCACGATACATTTTATTAAATTCAATGCACGACATTATTCAGTCCAGAAAAATGAAAGAATCCGTTTAATTGATGAATATATCTCATGCATATGTTCATCTACAAAATCAAAACAAAAAAATAGACCTTAGGATTCAATTCATTTCAATTCAGTTTATTTATGTAGCGCCAAATCACAACAAAGTTGTCTCAGGGCACTTTACAGGAACATTCACATACATAAAAGCCAACTAGTAAAGTTCTCTATCTAAGGATCGACTCAAATCCTCTAAATGTATTTCTTCCACACTTCTAATTACTCACCAACATTTGCAGGAACATCTTTTCCCATGTCTGAATAATCCAAAGACTCAACTGGACGCTTTTTTTCTTGTCTTCGTCTCTTTCCTGGCAAATTGAGCAAAAAAAAACCTCAGCAAGAATTAAAAAAAATTCATCAGTTCCCCGCCCCCATAACTCTTTGATAGCATTACCAGAATGTAAAGGCGAGGAAGTTGTCTTCTTTTCTATCTTTTTCTGTTCCTTTTTATACCTTGCTTCATTTTCATCCCCAGACACAGCTTCCATGACGAACGTGGAACTACTGCTGCCCCTCTGGTTTGTATTTCACAGCTGAGAAGCAGAAAAGATGACCTGTTGTGATGGCTACAAAACACACACGCCAGAACCGCTCCCTGGGGGACATTACATAGGTCTTCTAACCGACCAGGAAACAACAGATTGTGTAGCTACTGGTTGAAATCCAAAGTGATCACATGCAGCAAACATCATTAATTTCTACTGCCATGTTGTTGTGGACAGAAACTAGGTGCTACAATTTAAGAGCATGTGACATGCTTTTCCTGCTAATCCAATAAATAAATAAATAAACATTTTAATATTTAGGAAATTTGGCATAAATCATATGATATTACCCATTTTGTCCAATAACAGACACATTTTCTTTTGAACCCGGTGCAACCAAAGTGAAACAGGAAGTGACATCAAGAATAAACTTTTTGACTCAGAATAACGTAAAGAAAGAAATTATTTGCTGTCTGTGTTGTTAGCCACTGTAGCAATGGTTTGTTCACATGCAGGCATTTCCATTTATTATCACTTCCTGTTACTGTGCATACAAATGAACTGTTCATCTCTGTGGCGTGAATTTTCATTCTTTTTTTTTTTGCTAAACATTATTATTATTATTGTTCCAAAACTACATCAACAGTTCTCACACAAATCTGATGACAGGCACTTTTTGTTGATAGTGATGTTTCTTACCACTAGACGCATCTACAGTAGTCCCTCGCTACTTCGTAGTTCGTTTATCGCAAACTCGCTCAATCGCAGTTTTTCAAAATAAGATTGGACATGACACACAACTGACTGATTGATGGATGAGCCGCACGATCGGCCTGGGATTTTTTTATTTATTTAAATTATTTAGCACCTGCTGCAGGATAAACTTCCTGCTGCAGCTGATCAGCTGTTCACCGGGCAGAGCATAGAAGTGGGTGTGGCCAAGAGCGCTTGCAGGTGGCAAAGAGCAGAGGAGGCAG